CGTTTACCAGATTTTTTATCTCTTTTGAAGGGATAATGACCACAGTTTATTCATGCCCAACAAAATACGCCAAGTTGATAATTATATTCCACCTCATGTGAAAGATATGAGTGTTTTTCTAAGGAGGCTATATCTTGTCACATGTGCCCCTGTCAATCAAGCCTGGCATGCCCGGGCCAATTAGTCACCCTAGGGGGCAACCACTGTATGTTGTTGTTGTTGTCCTCAGAGCAAACCGGTGGCACCGGGTACTGAGCAAGGACTGTTTGAACGGACAAAATATACGTAAAAAATGTGAAATAATGACACAAATGTGTTGAAAAGTGATAGTAACTGTTAATAACACTGAAATTCAGTATAATCAGAATATTCCAAATTTTTGCGCAAAAAACTACATAGAGTGCCTTTAAAGTCTCAGACCTTATAACTACTTTACGCTTTGCAGCTACTGTTCTGTTACGGATTACGTTGATTTTTGGGAGGTTGTCTACGTATTATGAAGCTGAAAAGGCCTGATTACGCCTTACGAAAAACGGCATGCAGGCCCCAAGAAAATCCCACCATTCCTCGCGCGAACTGTAACATCCGGTTTGTTTGTCGTTCTAAATGTTGAAGTTGACGGCTGTAGTACCGGGGTAATACCTTATTTGCGGTAAGTGATTTCATGAACTCAATAGAGTTAAGACCATTGTCCCCCTCCCTGAGCCTCCCTGCCTCATTAACTGACAAGGCACAAGGTCAAAGGCAAACTCTCTGCCTACATAATTTTTGTGAATAACTTGCTAATGTTGTAATATTGATATATAAAGCACATCTAAATTTATAAACTTCAAGTGCCCGGCGGGACCCCTAGACAAACTTTTTTTCAAACAAATTTGGTATGTATGTATTCGTCAGTAAAAACTCTATAACATCCCATCGATCCCAGGTGTATTACTATTATCACAACAGAGATATTATCTAATATGTTCAGATTTTTGGCAAAAATCACATGCTTGCAATATTCATACAGGGTCAGCAAAGTCTTGGAAATATTGTGCACTCTGGGCCCGACACACTGTTTTAGAACAACTTGTCTACTTTCTATACATGTGTTCAGTAACTCAAAAAAATGTTGTGTGTGGATGCGCTTTTAGGGCAAAAATAAGATTACAAAAATTGAACTTCTGGCTTCTTATGAACTGAAATCTGATCACTTTGTTGGGATAAGTCAACAATACAGCCAATTATCTTGTTGACATAGCACCTTCCTTGTTGGGCACCAGACTACCCGAGGAGAACAATAGGCAGTTCACGGCTTGTCCACACCTTTACCTGCTAGTGCCAGACAGCCAGCTTGGCTTGGTTTATCAGCAATAAACAACCATTGTTTCAGGGTTCCAAGTACTAGTACATTGTAAGACTAGAAAAAGACTATCAAAAATCCATTTCTTGATCCAACATACTCTACAACAACATAACATCAAAAAGTATAACTATAATTTGGTTGGCGCAAGCTTTTTAACAAGTTGATTACACTGGCGCACTCACTATCCAGTTTATCGTCTGTTGTTCCCCGACGCAAAAGGGTTCTATAGAGCTGCTTCAACTTACCAAAATTCGAAAGAAAGTGTGTGAAAGGTTTTACCTATGTCAAACCAATAGTCTAAACACTAGTATATATATTAGAGTACTCTACTAAGTCCTGTAATGAAAATTCAGAAAAATCCAGAAAAACATGGAGGGTTATCAGACTTTTAATTATCAACAGTACCCCTGGTGTTTATGATAAATATACTCAGGTTCTCCTTTACTAAAGTCTCTGAGTGTTATAGGTTTTATGCCTTGTCTGGCTATTTGCAACGAAAATGTCACATTTGACAGAACAGTCGACCAGTGTGTAATGTTGAGATCTGGGAATCACACAAATTAGAAACACTAGACATATGAAATCCTTTGTCAATTATAATACACATCCAGCACTGTTCCCAGACAGCCAAACATTTCACACTCCACAGAGGCCAGGTATCACTTCACCTTGTCCACCGGCACCCCTCTTGCAATGTTTTCACACTGGGCAGGGTCAGGGCAATTATCAAACAATAGGAGAAATCTGGAAAATTCAGGGTCAAAGGTTGTATCTATGTGTTGCTAAGGCGGGCGACGCCCAAATTGCTGGGGGGTCGTGAAATGGTCTTAACTCTACTGAGAAAATGGCTTAAACTCAACATTGTGGTTGTAAACGTGTGCCTTCGGTTTGTCGGTTTACTAATTATAGAGGATTTTGACCAGTGTTTTTCTTTGTTTTTGGACGATATGAGGGAGGGGGGCGATCACTCGCTAGGGAAACGGAGAAATGTAGCAGAAATTTTGGCTATTAATATGGGTTCAACACAACCTTATAGTTGTAAATGTGGGGCTTTCGTTTGCCGGTTCACGGATTATGTAACTTTATTTGAACTTTCTTGACTGAATTTTGAGGTGGTGATAAAAAAATCTCGTAAATCTGATGGTGTGCTTTCTTTGCTCTGTGGTCGTAATAAAAATCTTACAAACTTGTGCATGGCTCCTGAATTTTATTCACGTCATAATTGTATGTATTCCTACATTTTTTATAAGGTAAAAGGATCTCTAGTCAGCAGAATTAACACATACCTGTAATTTCTGGTATTTTAAACGTTTCAGAAATGCCTAGACGTAAGAAGAAAAAATTGACTGAGAGGTTGAGTGCATGGAAGGAAGAGCAAAAAACGGAGAAGCAACCCAGCCAGCAGGATGACAAGCAAGCAGAGGTAGAGTCAGTACAGGAAGTAGAGTCAGGAGTACAGGAGCCAGCTGAAATGCTCATGGAGGCGGAGGTAAGTGGGGAGGAGCCAGTTGATGACCAGGATGTACAGGAAACAGGGGCCTGGGATAGTGAAGGAGGTTTCATTTTTGACCCTTTTACGCGGGAAGATCAATCGAATGTGGCCAGCATGGTAAACAGGTATGCCCAAAATGAAAATGAAATCATTACTGTTAAAGAATACCACAATATGGAGCAGAGGAATGTCCCTTTGAAGACACCTTGTAGTAGCGGTATTGTTTCTATACGAGGAGATGGGAATTGTTTTTATAATGCAATTAGTTACAATATCTGTGGCACCGAAGAATATCATAAAGTACTAAGGGATCATTTGATAAAGTTTATGTCAACATTGCCTGAGAATGTTTACAGGTCTTGGTTCGATGGAGGACTAACCATGTGTCAGTACCTGAACCGTCGAGATGAGAGAGGGAAACGTCCAGGAGATCTTGGTGCATGGGCCTCACAGGTAGAAATAGATGCAATGGCTTTATTCTTGGGAGTACGCATCTACTTGTACACTAAGTACGGCAAGGAGTGGACGTGGTTTAAGTACCCATCAAACGAAAGTATTGGTGATCAAATCATGTTGGAACCAGGTAATGCTATATACCTCAATCATGCAAACCAAAATCACTTTGAAGTTGTTACAAAAGTATGGAGCTGTCAAGAGACAAGGAGTACGACACTGTGCCAGGAAGAAGAATCTACAGAGGTCTCACCAGTCACTAGCAGCAAGAGAAAGACCACACTGAATGATAACGTTGAGGACCGCAAGAAGGCCAAACGGGAACGAGAAAGGAAACGGTACCAGGAGGATGAGAAGTATGCCCAGTCTCAACGGGACAGGAAGAAGACAAGATATCACACTGATGAACAGTTCGCCCAAGAGAAGCGAGACAAAACAAAGGAACGGTATCACACTGATGAAGAGCATGCCCAAGAGAAGCGAGACAAACAAAGGAACGGTATCACACTGATGAAGAACATGCACAGACTGAAAGGGATAGAAAGAAGGAACGATATCACACTGATGAAGAGCATGCCCAAGAGAAGCGAGATTATGAAAAGGAAAGATATCATACAGATTCAGAGCAGAGAGATTTGAAAAAAAGTAATGTGCAGATAAACAGAGAGAAAAAACAGAATTTACCAGATGTTAAGAAGTCCATTGGAAAGTTTTAGCTGGAATGCAAAAAGGGACCAAAACATGCTTGCACTGTATGTCATAGGCTTTTGTTTCGTGATCAAGTTGTAATCTGTCACACATCAAAGTATGTTCCGGCTGTTCAACAATATCTCACGGGTAAGTATGTACATAAATGCACTGAAGACTGCAGCCCACATTGTCCCACATTAAAATCACCCATGGGGAAAGAGTGGATATGTCACTGTTGTCACGGGCACATGATGAAAAAGAAGACCATGCCATACCAGGCCCAAAGTAATAAAATGAAGCTCCCGGACATACCTCCTGAGCTGAAAAGTCTCAATACTCTGGAGTCACAACTTATAGCCAAAAGAATATCATTTATGAAAGTTGCCGCTCTCCCAAAAGGGGGGCAGAAGGGAGTTATAGGCCCCGTAGTGTGTGTCCCAGCAGATGTAAGTGAAACGCATGCAGTCCTTCCCAGAATGCCTACAGAAGCTGAGTTAATCAAAGTAAAACTTAAGAGGAAGCTACAGTACAGTGGGCATTACATGTATAGACAGATCAGTCCAATGAAAAAAGATGCTGCTCTGAAGTATCTTGTAGAAAATAATGAACTTTACAGTGGCACGTCTATCAATGCAGACTGGGCTTTGTCATGGAACGAAGAAGGGCTTCTTGAACCTGGAGGGGAAGGCGACTCAGAAGTTCCCACAGTGCCAGAGCATGGCGAGTCAGTCAGTGAGGACAGTGATGGCGTGGAAGGGCCAACCGGAGATGGTATGGAAGATGATGAAATGGACAACATTCTTCAACAGATGAATATAGAAGAAGCCATTGAAGAAGCAGATCTAGCTGAGGATGAGGAACTGGACAACCTCTTGCGGGGGCTGCCGCATGATACTTGCCTTCAGCCGATAGACATAGGACAGGAATTTCTTGATCATCACGATGAACATATCCTGTGTGTTGCCCCAGGACAGGGGGAGAAGCCAGTTTCTGTATTCAAGGAGGTTGGGGGAGAGGCAATGTCCTTCCCGGTGCAATTCCCTACAGGGAAGTTTTCTTTTAACGATGATCGCAACGTAAGTATTACACCTAGCAAGTACTTCAAGGCACGGCTTATGGGTGCAGATACAAGGTTTGCAAGCGATACTAGCTACATATTCTTTGCACAATATGTAACAGAGCTGCACTTCATACAGTCGAATATTTCCATATCTATGCGCAAAGGTTCACCTGTAACAAGTGATGGGCGTAGAATATCTGCTGGAATGTTGTCAAACAGAGAGGACTTACAGAACATTCTAAGTCAGATCAAGGCTATCGCTTCCTTCAGCCAGTCAGAGGTACTCCGCAGTTTTGGGACAGGGCACTAAATGAATTGTTTGCAATGATAAGGCAGCTCGGGATTCCAACATGGTTCGCGACATTTTCCGCCGCAGATTTGCGATGGCCCGAAGTGCTAGAAGCCATTCGACAAGATCAGAGCTCGGTATCAGTTAGCGATTTGTCGTGGGAAGAGCGTTGCGACATTTTGAAGAGCAATCCTGTCACAGCTGCACGTATGTTCGATCACCGAGTAAAGTTGTTTTTCAAACATCTCATTCAGTCCCCATCGCAACCGATTGGAGAAGTGGTTGACACATTCACCAGGACAGAGTTTCAGCAGCGCGGCTCGCCTCATATTCATTGTTTGTTCTGGGTAAAAGATGCGCCAAAGTTAGATGTAAATTCAGAAGAGGAGATCTGCTCTTTTGTGGACAGGTATGTTTCCTGTCAGCTACCTAATGCTGAGACGGATAAAGAGTTGTTTGACATAGTTAGTCAGGTTCAAATGCACCGAAAAGGTCATACGGCGTCATGCAAGAAAGGTGGTAAAGTTTGTAGGTTTGGATTCCCTAAACCTCCAGTAAAGCAGACATTTCTGTGTGGCCCTACACCCCTGACAGAAATGACCTTTGAAGAATTGGCATCCATTCCAGCGAGAGAGGCGCAAGCTGAAGCAATCCTTAAAGCATTTTGGGATGTGTTGAACAAGAAAAGTGAGCCTGAAAAGTGCTCCACAGATGATCTTCTAAAAAGAGGTAAAGATCACCACTGCACAGTTCTGTGTTGCCATGAACACGATGGCAAACAGGAAGCAAATAATGCTCAGGCGTGAGCCAAAGGACATGTGGGTGAACAATTACAATCCACATCTACTGCGGGCTTGGAATGCCAACATGGACATCCAATATGTTCTGGATGCTTACAGTTGCGTTAAGTACATTGTATCATATATCAGCAAAGCGGAAAGAGAAATGGGAAAAGTACTTAAGCAAGCCCAGAAAGAGGCAAGGGAAGGCAATGAGGATGTAGTGACTGAAATGAGAAAGGTTGGCCATGCGTATATTCACCATAGAGAGGTAAGTGCCCAAGAGGCAGTGTATAGAGTCTGTAGCCTAAAGTTAAAGGATTGTTCAAGAGAAGTGATATTCATACCAACAGATGAACATGCTAATCGCCTGTCGAAACCTTTGGCGGCAATCAAACAACTTGCAAGTCAGGGTGACGAAGCCAGCATCTGGATGCCAAGCATCATGGATAGATACAAGGCGAGACCACGAGAGGAACCCTTTCGATCCCTGTGTGCTGCAGAGTTTGCCTCTGAGTATCGTGTTGTTTCATGCTCGGGCAAGCAAAATACATATAGTGGCGAGCAGCCATCTAGAGGAGAAGCGAAGCATGCGCTGAGGGATGATTTGGGGGTTGTACAAAAGCGTACAAGATCTAAGCCAGCAGTCATACGCTTTGCTAAATTTAATAAAGAGAAAGAGCCAGAGCGATACTACTTGACATTGCTGAAGTTGTACTTGCCACACTATTGTGATGCGGAGTTGAAACCACCACAATTTGAAAAGTATGAAGAATTCTACTCTGATGGAGTCGCTCCCTTGTCAAACACAAATGATAAGGTTAAGGTTGTTGTGCATGCGAATAGGCGTAAATTTGAGCAGAATGTTGACGAACTTGAGCAGGCGCGCAAAGATGTAGAAAATAACAGTTGTCTTGTAGAAGATGTCTGGGCCCAGATGTTCCCTGAAATTGAGCAAGAAAGAATAGAGTGTCAAAACATGAGAGGAGAAAATGAAGTAAACAATGAAGGCCAACAGGATGACATTCCTGACCAAGCTTCACTCTAGAAGCCTGTCAGACACAGGTCCCGTCAGAAATGGCAATCCCCATGTTGCAGTCACTAAATCCAAAACAGCAGGAGGTTTTCTATTTTGTGCGAAAGTGGTGCATGGAGACTGCGCAGGGAAAGAGACCAGATCCATTTCATATTTTCCTAACGGGTGGTGCGGGGACTGGAAAGAGTCATCTTATCAAATGCATATGCTACGAGGCTACCAGGTTACTACAGCAGACACAGGAAAACCCTGACAGTGTCTCTGTTCTGCTTGCAGCACCCACAGGGACTGCTGCGTTCAACATTGGTGGAAGCACTATCCACCATGCGTTCCATCTGATGTGTAAGACAAAGGACCGTGAGGGCCTTTCCGAGAGTACCGTTAACACTATGCGAGCGCAATATGAAAGCCTCAAAATTGTGATTGTAGACGAGGTGTCGATGGTTGATAAACCACTCATGAAGTCTATTCACCTTAGGTTGCGTCAATTGAGACAGGGGAGGCCAAATGCACTGTTTGGAAATGTAAGCATCTTGGCAGTAGGTGACATGTATCAGGTTCCTCCAGTCAAGGGAATAAGTCTCTACAAGGAAAGAGACAGAGATATTTTCAACTTGTGGAATCCCAACTTTGAAGTAGTTGAACTTGAGGAAATCATGAGGCAGAAGGATGATGCTGCATTTGCAAAGCTGTTGAATAGAATGAGGGTAAAGAGAAAGAAAGACAAACTTTCAGATGAAGATGACGAAATTCTGTCTTCAAGGGTGTTATCTGTAGACTTTGAAGCAGACGATTATCCTAAAGATGCGCTTCACATCTTTACCACTAACATAGCTGTTGCAGAGCATAATGACAAGATGTTGAGACTCAGGTGTCCAGATGTAAGATGTTTTGAAGCCTCTGATTTCGTCAAAGATCCCACCACAGGTTCCATGAATAGGCGAGATCTCGCTCGAGGAGGAAAAGACGACCTCCCTGATGTTGTCAAAGTTGGGGTTGGTGCTAGGGTCATGCTTTCTAGAAATGTCAATGTGGCGGATGGTCTAGTGAACGGTGCATTTGGAACAGTGTCTGGGGTAGCAGGTGGTCAGGATGATGCAAGGGAAGTTGCAACTGTTTTTGTGCAGTTTGATAACCCAAAGGTGGGCGCTCTCGAAAGGCAAAAAAGTAGCAGTTCCCAGCAGTCTACCTGTCAATTCGGTTCCTGTACGTCAGATTGAGGACAACTTAAACAAAAGTAAAGTCAAACGTAACCAAATTCCCCTCAAACTAGCTTGGGGCTGTACAGTACATAAAGTACAGGGCATGACGACTGATGAAGTAGTTGTCTCAATGAAAAAAGTCTTTGTATCAGGTATGGCGTATGTGGCTTTAAGCAGGGTACGTTCCATAGCTGGTCTCCACATCACAGACTATAAACAGGAGTCGATCTACTGTGACGAGGAAGTGCAGGGGGCAATCAGTGACATGAAGCACTTCAAATTTGTGTCTAATCCATTCACGAATGTTGGTGACAGATCTGAAAATGAAGTCTCGAAATTGAACATTGTCCATCACAATACCGAAGGACTTGTAGCTCATTTTAAAAGTCTGAAGTCGACGTGTTTGGTCAAAGCTGATATCATATGCCTGACTGAGACATGGCTATCAGAAAATGTGCCATCCTCTCAGGTGCAGTTAGAGAGTTTCAACATGTTTCGCAAGGACAGGTCAGGACGGCGTGTTTGTGCGACAAGTAATGCCCCTCATGGCGGCGTAGCAGTGTACGTTCGTGATGTATACAGGTGCTCAGAAATTCCCATCCCAGATGACATCGGTCTAGAGTGTGTGGTTACGCAAGTTTCTGCTGAAGGCATGGATCATCTTATTGTAGCCATTTATAGAGCACCGAAGGTGCACAAAGACCTGTTCATATCCAGTTTGGAGAAACTGTTGCAGCACTTGACTACAGTGGAAAGAAATAACACTGTCATAATGGGTGACTTTAATGAGAATTTACTGTCGAGTGACGAAAACAAAAAGATTCAATCATTTTTTATGAGAAATGGCTATGAACAGTTGATAGAGGCTCCTACGACTCTGAAAGGTACTCTTATTGATCATGTGTACATGTCAGCATTAGCAGATGTTGTCGATCATGGTGTGATACAGACATTCTATAGCTACCATGATGCTGTCTACTGTGTGTTGTGTTGTGACAAGGTAACACAGCAGCACTCAGAGGAATAATTACTAGTACAATCTGACTGGTTATCAAGGGGTGCTCCCCAGATGTTGAAATGAGGAATGTGAATCACGATTGGTGCATGTGTACCAGGGCACGATATATCCATATGTCTCCTGTAATCAGCAGGAAACATAAAAAAGATATTCGAGTCCTGGTGCATGAATGATAATATTTGAGCCAGCGTCTGGCCCTTGCTCACCCGCACATTTAGTGGTGAGCGAGGGGGATGGGCCGACGTACAGGCCGCTCTGGCTCTTGCCAAAAAGACCTGGCAAGAGGGAGCCTGGTCGATGCTCCATGATTGAGAGCTTATTGATGAATGAAATATTTGAGCCAGCGTCTGGCCCTTGCTCACCCGCACATTTAGTGGTGAGCGA